CAATCCCAGGATCCCCCCAATCCCGGGATCCCCCCCAATCCCGGGATCCCCCCCAATCCCGGGATCCCCTGAATCCTGAGAATCCCCGAATGCCGAGGGGGCTCCGGGCCCTTCCCGATCCCGGCGTTCCCGCTTCCCGCAGGATTTACGACCAGCGGAAGATCGACGAGAACGAGAACAACGGCGTCCTGAAGAAGTTCTGCCCCCACCACCTGGTGGGAATGCCGGGAATGCCGGGAATGCCGGGAATACTGGGAGTGCTGGGAGTGCTGGGAGTGTTGGGAATGATGCGATGGGTTGGGAATACTGGGAATGCTGGGAATACTCTGAGAACTGGGAATACCGTGAGTGCTGGGAGCGCTGGGAGTGCTGGGAATGATGGGATGGGCTGGGAATACTGGGAATACGGGGAGCACTGGGAATGCTGGGAGTGCTGGGAATAGTGGGAATGCTGGGAATAGTGGGAATGGCTGGGAATACTGGGAGCACTGGGAATACTGGGAGTGCTGGGAATGCTGGGAATGCTGGGAGTAATCGGAATGCTGGGAGCACTGGGATCTCTGGGAATACTGGGAGTGCTGGGAATGCTGGGAATACTGGGAGTGCTGGGAATAGTGGGAATACTTTGAGTACTGGCAGCACTGGGAGCACTGGGAATACTGGGAATACTGAGAATGCTGGGAATGCTGGGATGGGCTGGGAATATTGGGAATGCTGGGAGTGTTGGGAATGCTAGGAGTGCTGGGAATAGTGGGAGCACTGGGAATGGCTGGGAATACTGGGAGCACTGGGAATGCTGGGAACTCTGGGAATACTGTAAATACTGGGAGCACTGGGAATACTGGGAGTGCTGGGAATGCTGGGAGTGCTGGGAGTGCTGGGAATAGTGGGAATGCTGGGAATACTGGGAGCACTGGGAATACTGGGAATACTGTAAATACTGGGAGTACTGGGAATGCTGGGAATACTCTGAGCACTGGGAATACTGGGAGTGGTGGGAATAGTGGGAGTACTTTGAGTACTGGGAGCACTGGGAATACTGGGAATACTGGGAATGCTGGGAATGCTGGGATGGGCTGGGAATATTGGGAATACTGGGAGTGTTGGGAATGCTGGGAGTGCTGGGAGCACTGGGAATGCTGGAAATACTGGGAATACTGAGAATACTGGGAATACTAGGAATATCGGGAATGCCGGGAATACTGGGTGCACTGGGAATGCTGGGAGTACTGGGAATAGTGGGAATACTTTGAGCACTGGGAATGCTGGGAGTGCTGGGAATTATGGGAGCGCTGGGAGTACTGGGAGTGCTTGGAATACTCTGAGAACTGGGAATACTGGGAATGATGGGAATACTGGGAATACGGGGAGCACTGGGAATGCTGGAAGTGCTGGGAATACTGGGAATGCCGGGAATACTGGGTGCACTGAGAGCACTGGGAATACTGGGAATGATGGGAATGATGGGAGTGCTGGGAATACTGGGAATACGGGGAGTGTTGGGAATGCTGGGAGTGCTGGGAGCACTGAGAGCACTGGGAATACTGGGAATGATGGGAGTGCTGGGAATAGTGGGAATGCTGGGAATATGGGGAGCACTGGGAGTGCTGGGAATGCTGGGATGGGCTGGGAATACCGGGAATGCTGGGAATACTCTGAGCACTGGGAATACTGGGAGTGCTGGGAATGCTGAGATGGGCTGGGAATATTGGGAATACTGGGAGTGCTGAGAGTGCTGGGAATACCGGGAATGCTGGGAATACTGGGATGGGCTGGGAATACTGGGAATACTGGGAGTGCTGAGAATTCTGGGAATACTGGGTGCACTGAGAGCACTGGGAATGATGGGAATGATGGGAGTGCTGGGAATACTGGGAATACTGGGAATACTCTGAGAACTGGGAATGCTGTGAATGCTGGGAGCACTGGGATCTCTGGGAATGCTGGGAATACTGGGAATGCTGGGAGTGCTGGGAATGCTGGGAGT